GTTGGAGGAAAGTGCTGAGAGTGCCTTGGACTGCGTGAAGATCCAACCAGTCCATCCTCCAGGAAATAAAGCCCGACTGCTCACTGGAGGGAAGGATACTAGAGACAAAGTTGAAGTACTTTGGCCACATCATGAGGAGACAGGAAAGCCTAGAGAAGACAATTATGCTGGGGAAAATGGAAGGCAAAAGGAAGAGGGGCCAACCAAGGGCAAGATGGATGGATGGCATCCTTGAAGTGGCTGGCTTGACTCTGAAGGAGCTGAGGGTGGCCATGGCAAATAGTGAGCTCTGGCGTGGGCTGGTCCATGAAGTCATGAAGAGTCGGAGACGACTGAACGAATGAACAACAACATATAGAAATGCCCACCAAAAAGTATTTGTGGGCCTGTCTAGATCCTCTAGTACAATTTTGTGGTATGCTTCTGTCAATGTATAGTCAAAGTCCAGAGTCTGTTTCGGATATCCTTGAAAGGGGTGTCTCGGGACGTATCCCATGTGGATATTGGGGGTGGGGAGGTCATTGTACAGTGCTTGCTTAAGTTTGGCAGTGTTACTATGTCTAGAAATCTCAGGACAAGTAAAAAAAGTTTTAGCCATATGTGGCATAGTAAGGTATCTAGGCTTCTGCCTATATATGACTCTGACAGTGATAAGTGTGTGTTCCTTATTTTTTTATGGGTAGAAAGTTTAGGTGGTTTACACAGTAAAAGTTTTGATCTCGAATTTCTAAAGTGCTGCTGCTTGGCAGCAGGTTGGCAGTCTCATGGAATCTGGTATATATAAGATTTTGTATGTTTTCTGTAATTATCAAGGAAGGGTGTGTGTGGGTGATGTATTGCTTTTAGCTTTGGAGATCCAAAATTTGGTTTGTTTTTAATTTTTATTGAAATCACTGGTACTTAAATCATGATTGATATGTCCTGCTAATTTCAGTGGGGTGCAAGCATAGAATCTAAGTAATTATAGAGGTAATTATAATAATATAAGATACGTTGGAATCATTTGAATAACTATGTGTAGTAATTCACAGAAATCTGAATGAAAATATTGCCCCTGAAGAGAGGATTGATTGTCTTCTGTAAAAGTTTGTGAAACCCCTAGCATATTAACATTTTAAATAGCACAAGATGCAAAATATTTCAGGCATTTAGTAAGATAATAATAATAATTTTTATTTATACCTCGACACCATCTCCCCAATGAGGACTTGGGGCGGCTTACATGAGGCCAAGCCCAAACAACAAATTACAGCAAATAAAACCGAAAACACAAACCGAAAATGCAGACAATAAACAACAACATAATTACATAAAATATGTGAATGCATAGCAATATAAAATTACAATAAACACAATCACAGTGACAATGGGCGGGCTACGTGTAATGATTAAAAGAAAAAACTAGTTAAAAACTAATTAAAAACTTGGGTGAGATAAAGGAGAAGCAGGTTATTCGCGGAGGAGGGCTCATTACCATGGCCAACACTGGTGCCACACCAAGTTTGGAGTCTATTTGCAATTTTTTTTGTTCACAACCACATATAATTTGTTAGCAAATGTAAGAGATATATAGATATATTTCAGATTTGACTGGCAGGTAGCCTAACAATTCAATTTTCCCCAAAGACTGCTGCCGTGATTCTTTGAACAGGCTGAAGAGCATTTCTGCATTTTCAGCATAGCTAAAGAGTCTCCTGCCTTTTTCATTACACTCCTGGAAGTCAGGTGAAAAGAGAAAGATGTAATTGTCTTAGAAAATTCCATTTAAAAAGGGCTGTCTTGCTCTGTCCCATACAGTCAGCCATTTCTCTGCTCATCTTGCTTTTCTCTCTAGCAAACATGTTTTTATGTTTCTTTTGGATTTTTTAAAGCCCCTCTTCTATAAACTTATTTTTCAAAATGATTTCTGCAATATTTTCATTTAAAAATGAATGAAATTTTTAATACAAGGTGTTCATATATATACTTTCAAAATATTTCTAAATCTATATAACACAAAGACTTTGATATGATGTACAGTATTATATCATTAAAATTCTTGGGTTTGGGTTTTTGTCAATTCTTTTTATGCAAATAAGTGCATACTATTTGCTTGACACCATGGATAACTAGAGAAGACAGACAATTTTCTTCCTTTTATTAATATTGACAGTTCTATCTCTTTTTAAAATGTTTTTGCTTATGGGCCGGGTTTTTCTTACATACACAATACATTTGTCCCTAAAGTAATAAAATGACTTAGAATGTATAAACTGCCAATATTTCATCCTAACATTTCTGATTTTTTTAATTTAAAAGCCTAGAAGATAAAACGTTTTTTCTACAGTGCTTCAAAATGTTCAGGAATTGTACATTTCTAGGTAGAGTAATATAATTCCATTGGATCACATGACTTTATTAACCTGATGCAGTGCAGAATATTTTATGGCCATGTCTCTTATACCTCAATGGCTCACAATCTGCTGGTAGGCTCATGGGCCACTGCTGGTCTTATTCTTTCCATCTTTGAAATTTCATTTTGTAGTGCAGTATTTATATAGTTAGATTGCAAGTTCAACCTGAGCAGCTTTCTCCTTGAACAGGTCCCTTTTTATTTTTGAGTGGACACAGAACAAAAACAAAAAGGAAGAGAGGCCAGAAATTGTCATATCTTCAAATTACTGTCTAAAATGATGTTTATGGTGGAAGAAATTTACATCTCCAGTTATAGTTTTCTTGCCATTAAGTGCCTCTACATTGAAATTTGACTGCATGTTTATGGTCCCGTTGTTATTTTAAAAAATCAACAAGTTGTCAACAAGTTACAAGATGGGCTTTCTGTTTTGTCCATTGCATTGACTTTCTTCCCTATAATACACTAGCCTTATTGTTACATCAACGTGCAAGGATGGAGAGGTTAGCAAAAGAACTGAAGTTTGAAAATGAGGAACTTGAGAAGCTTAAAGGTGAAGTGAATGGCATGGAGCATGATCTTATGCAACGGCGTTTGAGAAGAGTGAGTTGCACAACCTCAATCCCAACAGTAAGAAGGTTTTACAGTATGTTTGAATCTTCATTTTTCACTCTTGATAATGTGGAAGACTCATGCCATGTCTTAAATCCTTATATAATGCTTGCTGCTTGATGAGATTCACTTGTTTCTTTTCTTCCAGTGACAACCTTGCTTAATGCCCTTACCCAGATCATAGTATATAATTGCATACCTTCATTACTAGCTCACTACATTCTCAGTGGAGTAGCCTCTTCAGCAAAAAAATAAGGAACCCGATTTGGAAAGAGCATATCAAAATCAATACAGTAATGTCAACACTCCTTCTCCAGGGTAGACATTGTCTGGTTTAGGAGTAAAGATATTGAAAGAATTGGTGATGAAATTACTTTTAAAATTTGCAATTGTACATGTTTTCTGACTTGGCCGCTGTTTTCCTTCTGATAAGCAGAATTCTTTAAATTTACTTTCAGTCTCTAGAACCCATTTTGAGTTTGCTTCACAAATATAGGCTTAATCCTTTCTTTGCCTCATATTGATAATGTATTTCAAGAGTTTTAACTGGTTATCCATGGGAAGCTTGATTCAAAGCATATTAATGTTAGCTTAGTTTGAAAGTGGGTTGTCTTGGTTTATCAGCAAGAAACATTATATATATACATTACATTCCCATGACAGTGTTGAAACTCTCTATATGATAGACTAATTTTAAATCAAAGTTATCTAAACCAATAGCTTTCATCCTAGTTTAAATAACCGAGGAGGTAGTTGTAAAATGCAAGGCACTTCTGCATTATGTTTTGGAGAAATTAAATGCTACAGTAGTGAAAATGTACTCCACCTTGGTAAAGCTTCTTAGTGAAGCCACATACCTATGTAACTATGACTACACAGAAGTAAGTGGGATCAGTTGCCAAATTTAAGGGATTCTGTTTCTATTTCTCTCTGTTTATGTATGTGAATTGCTTAAGTATATTCGTTATCTTTTCCCTTCCATTTTCTATTTCTGGTTCTCTTTTTTAGCCTGAGGAGATGACCAGATTGAGAAGTGTGAACAGACAGCTTCAGATAAATGTTGACTGCACTCAAAAGGAAATTGACCTCCTTCAGTCTAGAGGTAAATATGGTGAAAATTTGCTTTATCAAGAATATATTTGTTTGGAACTCTATATACAGCTGCAAAATATTTCATGAAGAGTACTGACCTATACTATCATTATATAGAATAAAAGCTGTCCAGTTGAAGTATCTCTGTGTCAGTTATGTTGTTGAACATTTCAAGAGTTTTGTAAAAGGTAAAACTGAGTAATTAAATACTGTCATCGAATTGCATTTTGGTGTTAATTTAGATGACTGAACTGCCATGAGACCTTCATTATAAATATTACTCCTTGGATAATGAGGCATATGGCAAGTAGGTACCGAAGAACACATCTGGAAAACAATGTAGTATTACGCCTAGGTGGGAGTACAGTGTAATGCACTCCCACTTAGGCTTTATGGACTCTCAAAAATCCACAAGGACGTCACTCCATTCAGACCCATTGTGAGTTCCATTGGATCCCCCACATACGACTTGGCGAAATTTCTGGCCGCACAGCTACAAGCCCGTATTGGGCTTAGTACACACTGCATCGACTCAGCCCACTTCATAGAAAAAAATCAGCAACTTCAAGCTCAACACCAATGACATACTAATCAGTTTCAATGTGGTGTCTCTATTTACCAAGGTCCCAGTAGCAGACACCATCACACTTATCAACCAGGATTTCCCAGAAGACATCATATCCCTGTTTTACCATTGCCTCACCACAAGCTTCCAGTGGGACAATGAATTATATGAACAGAATGATAGAGTAGCTATGGATAGCCCTCTTAGCCCAGTCACAGCTAATTTCTACATGGAACACTTTGAAAAACAAGCCCTGGAAACAGCAACAAAAAATCCCACTATATGGTTCAGATATGTGGATGACACCTTCACCATTTGGAGTCTTGAAAAAGAAGAACTCAACAAGTTCTTGGGCCACCTTAACAGCATCCACCTAAACATCCAAAAAAGAAAATGGAGGAAAACTGCCATTTCTAGATAGCCTAGTCATCTGCCAACCCAATCAACAATTGGGCCACACAGTTTACAGACAACCTACACACACAGATAGATACTTACATAAAAACTCCAACCACCACCCAAGTCAATAAACAAGCACAATTAAAGCCTTGGCAGAATTGCAAAAAGAATCTGCAAACCACACCTCCTCCAATGTGACCTGAACCACCTAAACTGGGCTCTACAGGCCGATGGATACTCCACCACAGAGATCAGAAGAGCTGCAAGACCAAGAACAAGCCACCAGAATAAAGACAAACATCCACCCAGAGGAAATGTGTTCTTACCATACATCAAAGGAACTAAAGACTGCATAGAGAAGCTGATAAAAAAATACAACCTACAAACTATATAGACCCACTAAGAAAATCCAACAAATGCTACATTCAGCTAAGGACAAGAGGGATCATCTCACCTCTGCAGGAATCTACTGTATACCATGCAGCTGTGGGCAAGTCTACAAAGGGACTACCAAAAGCAGTGCCCCAAAAAGGAACATGAAAGGCATTGCAGACTAATTCAACTAGAGAAGTCAGCCATAGCAGAGCACCTGATGGACCAACTTGGACACAGCAATGCTGGACTACTCTAGCAGCTACCATGTCAGATTATACAGTGAAGCCATTGAAATCCACAGACATATGTGGACAATTTCAACAGAAAGGAGGAAACCATGAAAATTAACAAAATCTGGCTACCAGTATTAAACTCTAAAATCAGGACAGTAAAGAAGGAACAACACTCAAAAACAGGGGAATCCCAGACAAGAAACAATATGGGCCAGATAATCACCTCTTAACAAAGGATTCCCCCAGGCAAGAAGCAGACAAGCCTTGAAGCCACAAGGCTATTCAGTGCTAATCAATGTGATCAATTGCAGCATTCACACTTGCCACAAACAGACAAGAGTTATTTCTCCTCCTCTGGACATTCCACAGATATATAAACCCCACTTGCCTTGTTTCCAACAAATCTCACAACCTCTAGAACAGTGGTTCTCAACCTTTGGGTCCCCAGATGTTTTGGCCTTCAACTCCCAGAAATCCCAACAGCTGGTAAACTGGCTGGGATTTCTGGGAGTTGTAGGCCAAAACACCTGGGGAATCACAGGTTGAGAACCGCTGCTCTAGGATGACTGCCATATATGTGGGCAGAAGGTCAGGAGAGAAGCTTCTGGAACATGGCCATACAGTCCAGAAAACTCACAGCAACCCAATGTAGTGTACTTTCCTCTCGCATGCTAAAACACACATATTTAGCTTGAGGCTAGTGATTTCTATAACATCTTGAATTGTTGGGGTTTTTTTTGTTCTGAAGGTGTCTTAACTTTTTTTATATTAATAGGGAAACTTGATCCGAAAGCCATGAGTAACTTTTATGATAATTTAGAGCCAGGTCCTGTTGTGCCACCAAAGCCATGTAAAAAAGGTGAGTCACCAGATATACAGATAAGATTTACTTTACAATTTTGCTAATGATTTTTTTATATTGGGATAGAAAGAGCTTCAGTGTGCCGTGCTGTATCTAATGTGGAAGAAATGCAACAAAATCCTACCTGTGAAGCATTTTCTCAGTTCTTTGTGGACAAAGTCGCTCTGATCCACTCTAATTTGGACACCATGTTAATGGCAGTCTCTGAGGATATAACATGAGCAACTGCTAGTCCCGTTTTGATGGATTCATTTCAATTGGTTCAACTTGAGGATGTGGACAAGATACTTGGAGAAGTGAGAGCAACCACATGCATCCTAGATGTCTGCCCATCCTGGCTGATAAAGGAAGCCAGAGGTAGTTTGGCAGAATGGATGAAGGCAGTGGTTAATGCCTACCTAAGGGAAGGCAAAATTCCAGCCAGCATAAAAAAAAGCTGTAATAAAACTGCTGTTGTAAAAACCATCACTGGACCCCACTCTATTGAACAACTTTTGGCCAGTTTCCTAACTCCCCTTTTTGGGCAAAGTCATGGAACGTGACTTTGCCCAAGATACTGATTATCTAGATCTGGCATAGTCTGGCTTCAGGCCAGGTCTTGGAATGAAACAGTCTTGGTCACCTTATTTATTTATTTATTTATTTATTTACTTTGCTTATATACCGCTGTATCTCAAGCCCGAAGGCGACTCACAGCGGTTCACAAACAGTAAAAACAGTAGACAGCAGTGGTTCCATACAACATATAACAATTGACTTAACACATTATCCATAAATTACCAATAAGCAATTACAATGCACAATTATTACAAAAACAACCGTACCCAATCTTCTCATCATCCAAGCGTAGTCCAGGTTCGTCGTCCATTGTTCCATTCCTATGTTCCATTACCAGATTGCACTAAATTACTCAAACGCCTGCACAAACATCCAGGTCTTCACCTTTTTGCGGAATACCATTAGAGATGGTGCTAGTCTAATGTCCGTAGGAAGGGCGTTCCACAGCCGAGGAGCCACCACCGAGAAGGCCCTATCTCTCGTCCCCGCCAGCCGAGCTTGAGAAGCAGGCGGGATAGAGAGCAGGGTCTCCCCGGAAGATCTCAAAGTCCTGGTGGGTTCATAGGCAGAGATGCGGTCAGATAGGTAGCTTGGGCCGGAACCGTTTAGGGCTTTAAAGGCCAACGCAGCACTTTGAATTCAGCCCGGTAGCAGATTGGTAGCCAGTGGAGTTGGCGCAACATGTAGATGTTAAACAACATGGGAGACAATATTGAGCCCTGAGGAATCCCACAAGACAATGGTTGTGGGGTTGAACAGGTGTCCCCCAACAACACCTTCTGAGATCGACCCTCCAGGAATGACCGGAGCCACTGCAAAACAGTACCTCCAAGACCCATCCCTGCGAGGCGTCCCAGAAGGATACCGTGGTCGACGGTATCGAAGGCCGCTGAGAGGTCCAGCAGCACCAACAGGGACACACTCCCCCTGTCAAGCTCCCGGCGCAGATCATCCACTAAGGCGACCAAGGCTGTCTCGGTACCATGTCCCGGCCTAAAGCCAGACTGTGCCGGATCTAGATAATCCGTGTCTACCAAGAATACCTGGAGTTGTGAGGCCACCACACGTTCCAAGACTTTGCCCAAGAAGGGGAGATTGGAAACAGGCCGATAGTTGTCGAATTTAGTGGGGTCCAGTGATGGTTTCTTCAACAGCGGTTTTATATAGCTTGTTTTAAGCTCGCTGGAATCGTGCCTTCCCGAAGGGAGGCATTAACCACCACCTACCCACTCAGCCAATCCCCCTCTGGCCTCTTTAAGCCAGGATGGGCAGGGGTCCAGGATCCTTAGTGGATGATCGTCATAGGAAACTTGACCGGGGGGGGGGGAGGGGTGTCCCTGTTGCTTCTCCTGGACCTCTCGGTGGCCTTCAATAGCATAGACCATAGTATCCTTGTGGGATGCCTTGCGGGAATGGGGCTTGGAGGTACAGTTGTACAGTGGCTCCAGTCTTTCCTGGAGGACTGTTCCCAGAAGGTGTTGTGGGGGGACAGCTGCTCACCCTTGCAGACTTTGTCTTGTGAGGTCCCGCAGAGTTCAGTATTGTCCTCCATGTTGTTTAACATATATATGAAGCCGTTGGGAGCTATCATCCAGAGTTTTGGAATTGGATGTTATCTGTACGCAGATGATGTTCAACTCTACTACTGCTTTCCACCCACTGCTAAGGAAGCTGTTCAGGTCCTGAATTGGTGCTTGGCAGCTGGGATAGTATAGATGTGGGCAAACAAATTGAAACTGAATCCAGACAAGACCGAGGCACTCCTGGTCAGTTGTAAGGCCAAACAGGTTATAGGGTTGCAGACTGTGCTGGACAGGGTTGCACTGTTTCTAAAGGCAGAGGTTCACAGCTTGGGAGTGATCTTGGATTCATTGCTGAGCGTGAAACCTCAGGTCTTTGCGGTGGCCAGGTGAGCTGTTGCACAATTAAAACTTGTGCATCAGTTGGACCCATACCTTAGGAAGTCAGACTTGGTCACAGTAGCCCATGTTCTAGTCATATCCCGAATAGAAAAACTGCAACGCACTGTACGTGAGGTTGCCTTTGAAGACAGTTCAAAAGCTCCAAATAGTCCAACATGCGGCAGCCAGATTGCTCACTGGAGCAGGGTACAAGGAGCACACACACCCCTGTTATGCCAGCATCACTGGCTGCCAGTCTGCCACCGAGCACAATTCAAAGTGCTGGCTTTAGCCTATAAAGCCCTAAATGGTTCTGGCCCAGCTTACCTGTCTGAACGTATCTCTCTCTATGAACCATCTCGGAGGCTAAGAACGTCTGGGGTGGTCTTGCTCTCGGTCCTGCCTCCTTTACAGGCATGACTGGTGGGGACGAGAGACAGGGCCTTCTCAGTGGTGGCCCCTCGTCTGTGGAACTCCCTCCCCAACAAAATTAAGTCAGCACCCTTCCTCTTAGCCTTCAGAAAAAAAGCAAAAACATGGCTGTGGAACCAAGCATTTAGGTAGCAAGCAGGACAAGAAACGAACACAGATTATGTACAATTGTTATTTGATAATGAAACAGCCGAACCATGCTTTTGGATTATGTGATTTTAATGTTTATATTAATATGTTTTTAATTCTTTGTTTTAATATTTAAATGTAGTTAGATTTTATTATTTAATTGATAGTGTTATGCTATATTATATTATATTATATTAGGTTTCCATGTTTTGTAAGGCATTGAATTTTGCTGTGAATATGCTGGAAACCGCTTTGAGTCCCCCCATGGGTGAGAAAAATGTTAAATAAATGAAGAAAATAAAAAAAATCTTCCATGATAAATAAATAAATTGCCTGTTCAGGCTTTGCATGGAATATATTTGGCCAAATATACAATAGCACAAGCACTAGTTATATTGTAAATCAGAATGTTGCTAATATGTTAGAAAACAGTCATAGTACAGACTGAATCTCCCTTTTCTGAAATACCTGAAACTAGAAGTATTTCCTATTTCAGATGTTTCTGGATTTTGAAATACTTGCATATATTTAATGAGAAGAGGTATTTTGGAGAGGGGATACAAGTCTAAACACAAAATGAAGTGATCTTTCATATACACTTAGCATGAAGATAATTGTATATGCAATATTTTTAATAACTTTGTGCATGAAACAAAGTTTAGGTACACTGAACTATCAGGCAACAAAGGTGTCACTATTGTACCCATCCATGTGGACAGTTTTGGATTTTGGCATTCTAGTTAAGGATTCTCAACCTGTTTTATGTTTACTTGTTGTATGAACTGTTGAAAAGCAACAGTTATACAATTTTGCATTTGAGATTGTATCAATTTCACTGTCGTGCTTTTCTGGTTAGGATACTTTTGTGTTTACAGTTTGTGTGAAGCTTAAGGACTGCCCCCAACATCTACCATTACTTTCTAATTATATATAAATCATTCTGGTCCTTTTCGTCTTGTAGAATTCAAAGCATGAGCATGAATAATGGAGCCCTTAAAATGTTTTGGGGCTGCAGTTTCCATGCAGCTTCTTAACGAGCATAGCGATTGTGAGAGTTGTTGAGAATTGCATTGCAACATCAACCTGAGGGTCCCATGATTTTTACTCTTTCATCTCTTCCAATCAGGGTTTTTTCATCAAGTCATACATTTTCCAATCCACACTGACCTTATTTTAAGGATATTTGCATTTTTGGCAGCTTCAACCCTTACTTTGGGTAGTGTTAGTGTCCATCACCCCTATGCAAGTGGAAAAACCACAATTAAAAAGGTAGTTTTTTTAACCAGAGGGAACACTACTTTAGGGATGTCTATATCTTCCAGTACAACTCTGTGATTAACTTCTGCTGGAATTGTGCTGGATATTTCTAGAGAGGTGTTCTCTCTAGGAATCTTTAGGTTCTCCAGCACAGTAGTATGGTCACTTCCGTATTAATTACATTCATAAAATTGAAGCCTGCAGGTGTGAGTGAACTATTGTATTCTTCCCTATATAAGGATCAAATGGATGGCCCCCATTCCGTATTGGCAGTCAATGGGCCCTTCCAGACAGGCCCTATAATCCAGGATCTGATCCTAGGTTTTCTGCTTTAAACTGGATTATGTAAGTCCGCACTGCCAGATAATCTAGGATAAAGAGAAAACCTGGAATCCGATCCTGGGATATAGGCCTTGTTTGTAAGGTCTCTATGCAGCAGCAGCTCTTCTGCTAGCAGGGAATTAAGGGGCTGAAAGCATCCGAAAAGGAATTAATTGGCAGCGTGAGAGCCCAGGTGGCAAGTGCTAATTAATCTGTGATCAAGCCAAGAGTGAGTTAATCTTGCTTGCTATCCTGCTCTGCTTTCATTATGATTGAGCAGGTCAATCCTTGATAGGATGGTACTCTAATTCATATTAGACAAACTAGTTGTGGGGGGAGGGGGGGAATAGCACAACTTGAGAATAAATCTGAAATGTAATTGCCCTAAGCCAGTCCCCTAGTTATTTTCAGATGAATGGAGGGTGTGTCTTAGTTAAGTCCTTTTTGTGCTGTGTGGGAGAAATACTATAGTTAAGTAGGTTGGTGTTTCTCTGCCAAGCACTTCATGTATTAGTAGTGTGATTTTGACATTGCTATATGCCTGTTTAAATGCTGATGTTTTATGATTGATCCTTATATAGGAGATACATCAATCCGCATTGCCCTAAGCATGTGTTTTTCCAGTATTCTAAAAAGTGTTAACAGATGGGAGAAACTACTGTGAATAACAATGTAAGGAAATGAAAACTCTAAGAGAAGTGTCATTAAAGTCAGTGTTTGATGAAATTGAATTTCATGGAATTGTAGAGTTGGAAGGAACCACTGGGTATCCAGTCCAACCTCCTTCTATACAGGAATACAAAATCAAAGTACTGCTGGTTAGATGGCCATCCACCCACTATTTGGTTTGCTAAATTTTCTGGAAAACATGGATCGCCTGAGACAGAAAGGAGTCCAAGATGCATTTAGTGGTAAACACATTTTGGGTTTTTAGAGAGAGGTTTATTGTGTGACACTGTTATTATCATCACCATGTACTTATTTATATAATATAATACTATATGCATTGTGCATTACAAGAAATAGACCAGTTTAAAAAAAAAACCCAATTACCTGCTCTCAATCATACAATCTAATTAAGACCTATCACAAAAGGAAAAGGGGATGGCAGTATGGGAGCAAATTAAATCCAGCAGATAAGGCCTTTTTTTTCCTTCCTTAATGACTGGGGCAGCAGCAGTTGGATTAGAGGGGAGGGCCTTTCATCTGTTTCTGGCCAAGTCATGATGAATTCTGTTGGAATTACCTAAGTGTCAGCAGTTAATCCTGTAGATGCTTATTATTTTAGATTAAAGTTGTTTCTGAATTCTTTTTGAAAGTACCATAGCGAGATTTTTTTTAGATATACTAAAAGGTGATGGCAGCTGAAATAGTCTTTATTGTGTTTGACAGCTAAGAGTTTCTGTGTTTAAACAGATTCCACATAGATGATTTAAAGTAGATGCTTGATACCCAAATTCTGGGAAGTGTCAGATAAATATTTAGATGAAGCTGGCACAAAATTGAAAGAAATTGTACATTCTAGTCCTTGATGTTGTCCTTATACCTCAGTAGACATGAATTCTATCACAGATTGTAGTCCCATACCAGTCTTATTGATGAGATATGATTGGCTGTCAGCCTAAAATGGTGGAACTCAAAGCTATACCTCAGTAATTTACAAATCTTGATTGTCATTTACAAAAAAGGGATGTGAACAAAAGAGCATTGATTACAGAACTCTGAAGCATCAGCATTATATTATATTGTTTTATGACTATTGTGTATTCAAAATTATGAAGTTTAAAAGAAAATCATTTTCTGTAGACCACCAGAGCAGTTCCAAGCAAGCTCCGCGAACACAGCCAAGAGATGAAGACTTTGAAGGAGCTCCATGGAACTGTGACAGCTGTACGTTTTTGAACCATCCAGCACTGAATCGTTGCGAGCAGTGCGAGATGCCACGGTATGCCTGAACCCGTACTGCTTTGGATTAAATCCCATCTGCTTTGGATTGAAAATGGGCTCTGGAGCACACAGCCATAGAAGGAGATGTGGGGTACCTTTCAGTCCATCTATCAGGCATTTGCAAGCCAATCATTTTCAAATTACAAGGGAGCTATCCCCCCTTCCATTCATGCTGCACTAAAGATTAGTTCGGGGGGGAAATACTCTTATCCTACTGTGGTTAGCAAGACTGAAAGGACATCCTATATCCAAAACAGATCTGCTCTGTGAAGAATGTATACAGGAAAGCAGGTGATTGCTGCTGTTCTAGCCCTTATAATTACATTTGCTGGTAGTAGCTGTTATATATATATTTTTTATAAGCATTGAACCTTGTGGTGTGAAGTGTTACAGATATCCAGACAAACTGTGAAGAACCAGAGCTGTTAATCTGGTCACAGCAAGCTGGGAAACAAAAGCGCCCTGTGCTTCCAGATTGTAAACTACTGAAGGGGGGGGGGGTATCAAAGAGCAAAAAAGGGGGGTATTCAAAAATGCTGCTTTTTCAGGGTAATTTAAGTCTAAATAATTGCTGTTTTGAAATTGTGAATCATGGTGAGGAGGGAGAAGTACTGTATGAGCCTTATTTATCTAGTACAATCAGAGGTGATTTTACAATCCCTTTTGCTTGTACAGCGCTCACCAAGACTTGTTAACACTGGTAACTAAGTAATTATACCATATAACAGGTATGCATGCTTTTATTAGGCCTTTGTGTTTTAAAGCTAAAAGTAAAGTATGCTTTTATAAACAACGTTCCCTTAAAACTGTGCTTGACAGTAGAGCGAACGTATGCCAAATGCAGAACTATTCCAAATTCTCTTTGGAAAACTTGAGCTCATCCATCATTATGTATGAGAAGTGTTTGCACCCTGTTCCTTAGGCCTTTCAGCTTCCAATTATGTGAAGAATCCATGATGTTTACAGCACAGATGGTACTTTGTGCCCCCATTCTGATTTAGCTGAAATATTTGCTTATCAACAAAGGTTTATTTGCACATTGTTAATAAACCGGCCTGCATTAACTGGTATGAGTGGCAGATCTTGAAATGCATTTTTTATTTCAAATTTGGTCAATGGATGGATGCCAAAAACACACAAAATGTGATTACATACATACATTTATGCATCTGGTTATGATAAAGATGATGTTGGGTTTATTTGAGTGCTTCAGGTTGCTGAAATAAAGTTCTAATTTTGTAAAGTCTTGTAGGTTTTGAAATTGAGAGTCATTTTAAAATAAAACCATGCAAGAGCAGTCACAATTGTTTTCTCCCCTCTAATAATGGTATGTTTAATTTCTTATACATTTAAATCATACTGCTGCAAAACCTTGTAACATTTGCAAGAAGGAATGTTTCACATCTTGCCCATGTAGATGTTTTTGTCATCAGTTGGTATGCACAAGTGATAGATGTTTGTTGTTCAAAGTGGAATTTATTGGGTGTGATGCTGACATACAAGTTTAAATCTTTCTGAAGCAATACAGCATCAAGGAGCACAATGATATGAAAGTAATCGGTATTGAGATTGTCTTTAATTCTACATCATTACAAATGTGACTTTTGAATGTCCAAGGAAAGTTTTGAGAATTCTGCTGCCCCTCCTTCCGAGTTAAAATATCAGGTTATATTTTCCCTTTATAATATGGGAAAACAAAGCAATGAAGTATTTCATTGTTTTGTTTCTCACGATTCAGTTACTTAATATTTTGTTTGCAGTAGCTCAGTGGCAATTGTTATATTTTCATATTGATGCATTTGCCCCTTTTTAGCAGGTTCTGTTTGGCACTTCTTTCTGCTGCCATTGCAAATAAATCATAGTAATTAACTAAAGAGTAGAAGTGTGTTTGAAAGGTATGCACCATTTTTTCACATTAACATGGCTGAGGGATTTTGGTTGGGGAGGGGATATTTACAAGTATTGCATGCAACCTATCAAGTGTGGCGGCATTTCATCTTATTTGTGTGTGCTTTCTGGAGTCTGGCAGCATAATCCGAATTCCTGTAAGGCCTTTGGTCTATGCATGTAGCACTGGACATAGATGCCTGCCCATTTTCATACTGTGAGGGAGGACTACTCATCACATGAGAATTGCTCCACTATGTGTCCACAATGTCCACTGATTCATAGAGGACAACAGGACAGACAAAAAAGTATTCAAGTACTGACTGCTGGATCTGTAAAGTCATTCTTATGGAGACCCATTTCCCTTTTACTCTCAGTTTAGTTGGCAGAGTAGAAGACAAAATCACACACTTTGTGGTGGGAAAAACAGTAGGTAGTAGTCATGTTGTTTCAAAGGAAAAAGAAATGTCAGTTACTGATATTTGTTATTTGTGCAAAAACTGTTGTATATGTTTACTTGTAAATATCCTTTCATGCTGTAATATTGATGATAGCAGTGGAGTTAATTTTATTCGTATGAGTTGTGTATGAATATTAGATATCAACTTACACTTGGAAGCCACGTGGGAATAGATGGTCCCAGCCAAAGTGGGTTTAGGATATGCCAGAGTAAACATTCATTGCATATAAAGTTCCATTCATACATTAACTCCTTATATCGCTTGACAATAGAAAATGCACTGCGATGTATTCAACTTTGGAATGTGCACATCTTAGTGGTGGGATTTTGAGGCCATCATGATTTTTAAAAATGCACTACTTTGTAATAATTGCTGACCTTTTCCCTGCCCATTGTACTTGAGTGACCTGTTTCGATGCTCTCGAAAACAATTGTGTTTATAAATGCCTATTTTATATTTAACCACTGTTAAGATGCTCCCCTTTCCCATATAAAATACAAAGTCCCCTCTAAGATCTAGTAAATAGAATAGCTTGTAGAAGATTGGAATATAGAAAACCAAAATAAAATCTAGTTCTTGCATAAACGATTGAACCTCCAAGCTAGCTTGTTTGTGTAGGGAGGGGATAAGAAGTAAGAGGAATTGTTTGTGAAATAGATCAAATGGAGAAGTGTGCTTGTGTGTCTGTGGTATGTATGTATTTTTCCTTATGGAAATGTATGACACAAGTATAATTTTTAAAGAGCTGGTCTCAGTCACACAACAAGGTTGTTTTCTCTCAATTTCTGTATGTTCCAGTTATGTGCTCTTCTTTCATCACCCTCATCTGTTCATTTATAAACTTATTTACAATGAAATTATGGGATAAAATCAAACATGAAAAGATTAAATAAGTTTATTAATGGGATTGTTTCCTTGAGTTTGCAGGCTTTTAACTCAAGAAAAAAGTTAGCATAGCTTGAAATGTGGAATCAGTTTACAATCTAGTTTGTTGCAGCCAGATGGGCTCTCATTTCCTCTGTTATCTGCTAAGATGCAATGAATTACAGAGATGACAATGTACACAGAAATAAATGCACATTATAGTCAACACTGTCTCTGTGTGCTATATGTTTTCCAAATAATACTTCAGGTTTGCTCTGTATATGAAGTAAAGGTTCTCATCATTTTTGCGTTAATTATTGGGCAATAGTAATAATAATGCAATATTCTTAGTATTCTCAAAAGCTTGGACAATTTTTTTTAAAAAAACCTCTTCTTTAAATGATAAAGCAAATATGTCTAATCATGTGTTTCTTCTCTGTTTAATTTTTTTATTAGGCAACAAAACCATGATCTTTCTAAATCCTGTAAAAAGGGTGTTTCTTACTATTTAGATTTGTGTATGCTGTGAATGGAAACTATTACTGCAAGATGAAATGTGTAAAAGCATTACGAGGCTATGCATGCATGGTACATCCAAATTACATATACTAAGAGCTGCAGTTGCCTAAAATCAATAAAGCTAAGAAAATAATGTTCTGCATTTGTTTTCATATGTAGTAAGGAATTTTCTTAAAAGGCTTTTTTTTTTCATATATTGACATCTAGTTCTTCTTTTTAAAAGTGAATGTTTCTCCCTAACATACTACTGTATTGTTTGTTCTTGTTGGGATTTTGTTTTTGTGTGTGTGTATGCGTGAACATAGATAAAATCAAACACAGATCCTTTTTGGTGGCCAATTCATTAAATTTCACTTTGCAAGGAGAAATACTTTGCTCCTTCTATGTCTGTTGTGAATTGTTGCTAGTCTGTCAAAAGTTTAAGTTTAATGATCTAAAGGTTTTGGATATTGCTGTTAGGTGAAAAAGTTTTGAATTTTGGTGTTAAATATTATAAAAAAGACTATTTTAGCCCCACCCAGAAATATTTCATACTGATTCACACCTAGTTCTGTTTCAGTGCCAATGTGGCACTTACACATTCTGAGTTGCTCTAGCAAGGATGAATTTGCATGACTAGGAGCACCTAATCTGCATAACCTATAGAAGTTTTCTCCATTTTATTTATGAAATCCATCTGAACAATATGGGTCTGCAGATACAAGACTGCTGTCGTAGCATGGTTAAAATAACCATATTGGTTCTGCCCTCCTTCAGATGTGAATTCCTTTCACCTTTACTCATTACTTCCTCAAAAACAGGAATTGAAACCTAGGTTAAGCAGGTTAAGCAGATATTGTATTAAAATATTTTACCAAACTTCACTAATTTTGAGATGCTTTCATCACGGCAAATGCATTATGAAGTTCTCTTTCTGTTTATATCACCAGCAAGTCGAGAGTTTGTAGGAGAACCAGTCAGATCAGCATCTTTGCTTAGAACTGGAGCTTATCCTAGCACTTTTACAGCTATTGCCATGTAATGGGTGATTTTATATAATGCTGGCAGTTGGAAAAGCAAATTATTAATTATTTTGTTTAGTTCTATTGTTTGTCATCTATTTTTCTTTGACATTCAAAAGTTTGGTAGTTATACTTTTCTTTCTTTTTGGAAGCATACATTCTTAGTTACATACGACATTACTCTCCATGTGTGAGCTTCAGCAACTCCCCTTAATTCAGCTTTTTTACTTTGAAAGCAGGATGAACCCAGTGCTTTTTCCTACACAATTTATTACCCTATCTTTGTGAGAGAGCCTACTGTCCTCAAAGATTAGCACATCCTTACACTTGTATCTGATTAAATTAGGAGGGAAATATTTCTGTAGTCACTGCTACTTTTTTGCATCAGGTCACAATAATGAAATCATTGCATCTATTCCTGAGTCCCCTAGGGGAGATAGGGGAGAATATAAATAAAGTCTTTTTATTATTATTACCATCCTGTTCATGCATTTGACTCTTGATATGATTTTACGACCATAACAGTGAGCTTACATGGCATAATTCATATAGGTCAAGTTGTGGACAGCTTGTTGGACAGCAGCTTATCTGGCATAGCCAAAAACGAGGAACACTGGAAGCTTGAAGTCCAACATCTCGAAAGCCATACACTTGCCCACCCTGACATAGAGGAGAAATGGATTGAATTCATTCATTTGGGAATTGGGTTTATCCATCCTTATAATGTATTTCAAGTTTTTTCCTGTTCGCATAGACAACAGTAATAGTTATATTTTACAAAAACTATAACATCCAAGAAAATGCTTACATAGAGCCTTCCGAAAATGGTAAAAACACATTGACTTCTGATTGTTAGACAAAGTTCAAGACACTTTGGGTTTTTCATTTTCAGGAGAAGTACAACGTGACTGGTGTTTTAAAATCCAAATATTCCTTCATCAAAATGTGGAGAATTCACATTTCCTCTTGACTTATTATTCCCAGGCAATGATAACTTTGTTGAAGTTAACAAATACTCCTTTGTTAGGTTCACTGGAAAACAAATGTTAGATGTCAGTGAATACTGCATAAATGAATTAGTTACTTAATAATAATAAAAAACTCTATTTATACCCTGCCACCATCTCCCCCAACGGGGACTCGGAACGGCTTACATGGGGCCAGGCCCAAACAACAAATTACAGTACAAAAATACAAATTACAGTAAAATAAACAACATAACAAAGTATAAAACATCAAAGCATATAAACAATATAAGCAAAACATAGAAACCAAACAATGACAGAGAGCGGGCCGCATGTACATAAAATGATTAAAAGCTCAGGGTGAGATAAAGGGGCAGAACTGTTTGTAAGGGAGAACTCAGAGAGAGACAGAGAAATAAACCTTCGTACAAGGGGGCAGGGAGGAATCCTGGGACAAGAACTTTGAGAGAGCAATAGCATATAATGATGTGACTACTCTCCAAAAGCGCAACGGCAGAACCAGGTCTTGAGACTCTTTTYAAAGGTTTCTAAAGTAGGGGCTTTCCTAATCTCTCCGGGCAATGAGTTCCAGAGTCGRGGGAGCCACAGAGGAAAAGGCTCTCTCCCTTGTACCCACAAGGGAGAGAGCTGGCAAGGGCGAAAGGAGGGCCTCCCCCGAGGATCAAAGAGTTTGGGCTGGTTCATGGAGAGAGATACGGTCACGAAGGTAGGCAGGTCCCAAACYGTTTAGAGCTTTATAGGTAAGAACCTGTACCTTGAATTGGGACCGGAAAATGAATGGTAGCCAATGGAGCTCCTTAAACAGGGAGGTTGACCGCGCCCTGTAAGACGCYCCTGTTATTAATCTGGCTGCTGACCGTTGGACTTAACATAGAGGTTGGTGTAAAGTTACTGGAAATATAACACYTGTACCTTAGATGCATATAAGCGGCACTAGGTTACATGAATCAAAACATGCAGGCTCAATAATGTTTTCTATCTGGACTCTAAAAGGGCATAGTCTGGCAAAAGCTTTTCTTTAGTATATGTCAATGTCACCTTACACCTTGACAGCAAAATGTTCAGGGTGAGATAATATCATTTGTGTAGTAATTATAATTGGCTAGCCAGGTAAAGTCTTTATTCAGTGTCTACATGGGACTGAAAACATAGTTTGAGTCTGGAAATATCCTAGCATGCATCTATCCTTCCACCTACTTGGTCATTGTTAAGGCCAATCTCAGTAGACTTCACAACCTTGCATTCCTCCATTCTAAGCATTCATTAGGGATAGGTACATTCTGGGAAAATAATGTTTTTTCAATGTGTGACAACAGAGCAGTAATACTTTGTCCCCTTGAATAGAGAATATTGATAGGGAATATGAAATCTAAGCCTGAGATGGTGTAAAACATTATTCCCACGTTCCTAGTCTATCTTGCCTCGTGATTCTCGTGGTTCTGGTAATGGATAATGCAAGGCATTTTCACCTAAATTAGGATCAGTGTTTAAAGTCATGTAACATACTTTAGGATCAAATTATTAGGCTTTCATCAACAAAATATGAATGTAAGTTTTAATTCACTTTTGCTTTTAATATACTCTTTCATGTCTAAAGAGTGTAGGCCACTAACTGATCCCTCAGTAATGTTTCCAGTTACCGACTTCATGCTCCTGATGCTCTTCAATATTTTTATCTGAAACAGTAGTGCTAAGTAAGTATTGATAGTGTTGCATTTTTCCATACCTTTATACAATTCATTTTGTGTGTCATTACCACCCATTGGTGGTATAGATCACGAAGGATTTCATGTATTGTGGTATAGCTAAAACAATCGACATGATGTTGAAATGGATTGCAAAATTGATTTTATTTCCCCTCTTGGATGGAAGAATAAGAACCTTCACAAGAGCTGAATGGAGAAATATATGCCAAACATAAAGTCAAAAATTACCAAAGAAAGTAGCGCGTTCCTTGAAAAACTCCATCATGCCTCCCTACTTGATCACCTTCCAGTTCTATGCCAAGATAGTTCTCTTCTCTTCCAAACAATGGTCCCAAATGTTTGACAGTTCCTTTGCTGATTTTCCCTGCTGTCCCTGAAAATTTTACTAAGTTTCCAACTTTCAAGTCTGCAATACTTCTGGGTGCAAATGGTCGTCTTGATAGTATGGATGTATCCATATGAACCCTTAGATAAAACAGTCATAGAAAATCAACACCTTTTTTAAAAAGACAGCAGAGAAAAACTATTCACAACTATCATCCATGTTTTGTTTTGTTTTTTGTTTTCAAAGATGTGATTAAAGAAACCAGTATGTGGATCTCATAATGTTGCTGAGCAAAAGGTTAGGTGGCTGCCATGTCAGTGAAATCATGGTTTATCCTTTCTCTTTCCTAACCAATTTCTTTAATACTTAAATCCCATTATGTGAAACTTCTGTTAATCATGGAGACATAACTGCAACCAATGTACTTCCTTGCCCAGAGCTAATAGTAGCTCCTGAGGAATTTAGAAACACTATCAAGAAGGGGGATGACAGCAAGTTTATAATGGATTCAAAAGTAATCAATTGCTATTATGTAATTAATTTGTTGTCACTCAATTTAAAAGGTTTTTAAAACTATTTCATAGAATCTTAAGAACGGAAAGAAACTGGGCCAACTCCCAGCCTTACAACTACAGCACTCTTTAATTTTACCCATCCAGTCTCTTCAGGGGAAGAAATAATGATAGATAGAAAGAAACAAGTGGTCTTGAATTTCTTTGGGTTCTAATTCCAAATTTGGGTAAACTTAGTCCACTTGACAGAGTACTAGAAATTGTAATATTTGTGAAACTTGTATGTTTAAAGGATTTGCACCTGACAATTCAGCTCTATGTTGTCTTCAGCATTATAGAAGAGGTTATACAGCTGATATAGACTGCAAAGTCAGAAATGTATCATAACATTCACTCCAATGTTCAAATCCCCTGAAGCTCCCTGGGTGGCCAAAAACATTTCTTAGCTTGCTAATATGTTTATTCTGTGGATACAACATTTGACCATTTTATATGAAATATGCAGACATTAGAATAAGAACAGACATTTTCTGTTGGCTTGGAGCTATACTTCACATTCATTTTGGGAGTGAACCAGAGAGACTGGAAGGATTATCTCCTTTTTGCTGATTGGTTCTTCGGAGAGGCAGTTGTAGATAACTGAGCCATGGTCTCTGTATTTTGAAATTCAGAACTGCATGGCAGTGAATTAGCAGAATGTCTGTCCATTCTAATTGGATCTCTGCCATCTCAAGTTTAGACCCTACATCGGTTTTATTAATGTATCTCTGTAATGTACTGCAACCCATTTGATTGCACCCTTGCCCTCTTTAGGCAACAATCGGTAGCTCCAATATATAAGAGCTATGAATAGATGTAACACATGATGGGAGAAACTTATTTTTGATGTTTCAGAGCAGTGGTTCTCAGTTGTTTTTGACTTCAACTCCACAAAATCTCAACCAGCTTACAAGCTGTTCGGAATTGTGGGAGCTGAAGTCCAAAACATCTGGAGGACCAAAGGTTGGGAACCACTGTTTCAGAGTACAGGACCGGAACCAATCAATTCAAATTGAAACAGACGAGACTCTAATTAAATATTATAACAAATTTTATTGGCAGTAACAGGTGTTTGGTGCTGCAAAATGCTACCTCAGAAGAATATGAAACCTCTTTCATTAGAGGTTTGATGGCCACTTGTCAGGTATACTTTGGCATTGGACTAGATCAGCCTTGTTATCCATTCTAATTTTGCACTTTTTTCCTTTTTGGCATTATTATCCTTTTAAATAAAAAAATAGAATAGTTTTCTTTTGTTGTTAATGTGAGGTTTTGTGGAATAATATTTTAAATGTATGAACTCAAATGTCGTGATTGCTTACCTGTGTGGAGAATATTTGCTGCAAGCATCCATTTGAGAGAAACGGCTTGAAGTTGAACATGAGATGTTTTCCATAGAGCTCTTGTGACATGTTTGTTTGTGTTGGTTTAGGTCAGAAACATTGTTGCCATTCATCTCTATGTTCTCTTCAGTTATGTTATCTTGTTAAAAAGAGAAAAAAGATACTAGAAATATTTGTATCACATTTATATATTTGCACTAATTCTGTGAGCTAGTTCTCTAAAGTCATGAATTATCTCTTTTGTCACACCTTAATAGTTACTGAAATTCTAAAAATGTGGTCACCTTTTTGACAGCTGACATACTTTAGCATGAATATGATAAAAAAATAGGTTTCTGTATTCAGACCATGGTTGGCCTGTATTCTTTATTCAGACCATGGTTGGCCACAACAATTACTTGCACACCATACTTTGAACAGTGATGGCAGGCCACCAGTGACACTCCAAGAAAGACATAGTCCATAGGGCTTTGAAGTTGACATTATTGCATGATTGAAAGAAAATGCATTGGAGTATATAATGACAATAAAGCTGCAGGGTGGTACTGGTTTTTGGTTTGTTTGTTTTTGCAAAAGAGTCTTCAAAATGTGTCCATTCAGCAAGAAGGTGCCAGTATCAACAAAAATGTGTCTTCAGCTCCTCCACAAGTTAAGTGGTAGTGGCACCTTGCACACGCCATGTAGGGCAGCGCTGCATGAAATATGGTTGGAAGGAACTTTACATTTATTTAAATTATAACTATAAATTCAGTTCCTTGGAACTGGATGATTTTACAATATGTTTTCATCATCATCCAAAAAAGAAAAGAAAAGAAGCAAACTGGCCATCTGTTGCAGTACGTTTACTCATAGATGTCAAGTGCTTGCAGAATGTAGTCATCAGATCTGCCACCCCTGAAAAGGAGCAGCTGAGACATATGAGGTAACAAAATGAAATAGTAACAGTAAAAGTCAAGAGAGTAAAATATGTTTTTTAACCTAGCATTTGTTAAATGAAGTCACTTGATTCTGCCACTATGATATTGAATTAAGACATGTAAGAACTTAACTGGTTTAAGCATATGCAATTAAAGCAACTGGGGGAGGAGAACACTGCAAAGCTGTCAGCCTGCCTCTAGGAATTACCGTAATGAAATTGCACAAATGCTATACAATTACATCACTTCTCATTATTTTGTGGCAAATACTAAACCCCTAAATTTGGCATTAGGGAAGAATTTATTTATTTATGACATTTCTATCCCATCTTTCTCCACCCTGGGGGAACTCAAGGCGGCTTACACTTAGGTAACTATTCGATGCCATAAAACAATGTACAATTAAAAACATTTAAATAAAATTTATAAAATACATTAAAACATATAAAACAATGCCTTCACTATCACGTGGAATTAAATTCTGAGGAGTATACTTTATACTTATTGAATACAATCTATGGATGTACTGCTAGCAGTGAATAATCCCAAATATAGGAGACATTTCCCTGTATTTTGGACCCTGTGAAGCCTATCACATTGTACTGCCAACTAATAGTGATGATAATACATTCTAAGCTTTCTTAATTTTAATCCGCATGGTAGATCTTCCTTTTTTTCTGATCCTGTGAACAGGAGCTGAAAAACTAAGTAAAGGATTATAAAAGTACAGGCCCAAATCCAATTGTTACTCTCACATGGAGTAAATCTACTGGGTCAATGACTCAACCCATTGATTGAACTCTAATCTAGTTGGGACTAGCAGTTGGATTTAGACCATACAATACTCATATGATTCATGACTAAGCAAATAATCCAAGATAATGCTGTGAAACTGGGAAGCCAAATCTAATTTAACATACCTTTTAAGTTTCTGTTTTCTCTTGCTACTTCAGGGTCACTGTATCCAGCAATCAGAATGTCTGTTGAGTCACTATTTACGGGTGAAGGAGAGGCATTATTCCTGTGACATTCCTCAAGACTTTCTTAATAAAAATAAAAGGCTTGCTTAAGAAAATTGTCATGTTTCATCACTGCTGATATAGCCCACTAAATTTCAAGCATAATACTAACATTACATTATTTAATAACTGAATCTTTACTAACTACACTCATTTTGTTGTTATCTATAAAATCTCTGGTACCAAACTATTTTCATTGAGCACCTAATCTAGAATTCCAATAGACTTGTGATTAAATCTGTGCTAGACAGTAATTGGAAAAATGTCAGACTACGTGGATAATTACTCAGCTTTATAGTACTGGCAGTAACAGAACTTCGATCTCAGGAATAGTCTCGGTAAGATATTGTGATCCAAAGTTGTTTTGCCTAAAGTAAAAGACTCTATACTGTTTTCAGCAGTCATGGAACTGCTCCCCTCAATCACCTAAAGTAGACCAGTGAACCCCTTGTTAGTATTTTGGACTTCAATAAGGATATGTGGTATTAGATTTTATTGAATTTCACTTTTTCATATTTTAATACTGGATTGAGACCCTTTGGGAATAAAAAAATACTAAAAGTAGCTTGTGAAAGTACGTACATTTCATAATGAGTATGCACAAATAGAAACAACACAAAACTGCAAGGATGGCATGTGTTATGTGTAACTCAGACAGAAACATTGCTTTCACCCAAAGTCTGTTCCCTCCATGCCTGGCTCTTGCACTAGTCACTAAAGGGTACTATGGTAAGGTGGTGTGGCATTTTAACTGTATTTTAACTGAGAATGAATTTTGAGACATTTAGGGTGTGGTTGGATTTAGGAGAATTGTTTTGTTCAATAGGGACACCCACAGTTCTGTTATGTACTACCTGCATAGATCAATATGGAAATAGGCTGTTCGAAAGGGTAAATTACATACAAAAACTCCTATTGCAACAAGCTTTAAAGAGAATCATTCGTTTTCAACAATTGACAATTTTCTTTCTGTTGAAATAGGAATATTTTCTTATACTTTGTATTCTTCCAGTGATTCCCAACCTCTATTCCTCCAGGTGTTTTGGACATCAGCTCCCAGAATTCTTGACAGTTGGTCAAGCTGGAGCTTCTGGGAATTGAAGTCCCAAAGACCTGAAGGACCATAGGTTAGGAACTACTGCTCTTGAGCGACTTCACTTCCATGTTGATATGACTGTGACTCCTGCATCTAACATAGAGGATTAAGTTGGATAGGAACCTCCTTGATTCTGTCTTCCTAGCTTGTTAAATACATGGCATTGGAACACGTGCATTAGCCATGTAGAAAAATGTACTCAATGCAGATCTTCCATAAAATCACTGGTTGAAATTAACTGATAGTCTCGTAGTTCATGTGTTATGGTCTTATGTCTTCCGCAAAAGTACCAATCTGGGTTGTTAACTCAGCATTTTAAGAATCTGGCCAATGCACTATCTAATGGGTATTAGTTTACCATCCTGTTTGCCAGTAAGTGTATGCATTAGCAATTCATATTGCCTCTTTACATCCCATAGTTCTTCTTTCAATCTGTGGTTTTCCTCATTCAGCTGGTGACTGATTGCCCTTATTCTCCTGGATTCAGTCCTCAGCTCACAAATTTCTTCATGCAGGGCCTGCTCATAAGTGTCTACAGGACCATGACAGTTGTGCATCCTGTTGATCTTTCAAGAGGAAAAATAGATGAGACTGTCCTTGAGCTCTATGTATACAGTACAATCATTTGCTCTATGCATTCAATACCCACAGTTTTATTTACCCATGGTTGACCCCCCACAATCCCAAGAGTGTTTGTGGGCCTCTCTAGGTCTTCCAGTGTGATTCAATCTTATCTAGATTTCACAAATGTCCATAGTTTTGGGTAGCCATAGAAAATCTTGGAACATATCCCCCCCCCATGAATCTAGGGGGTTATTCTATAATTTATTATTGATTACTTGTAATTCTCAAGTTCATTTAATTTAATGTTATATATACATATCCCAAAAATTACTATTAGCAAAACATAATGCAGAAACAAAAAGAGCTAGGCTAGGATGGTTTGTCTCCATATGCAGCTCTTCAAAAAGCAGAAAGTTAGTTACTTGCAATAGGGGCAGAGAGATTTCAGGTTTATAGCCCCTAATTTTTTAAAAGCTCTTTAAGATTGATGAATAAGAGCTACAGCTATACATTTTGGATGAAGAATTTGGTGTCTCTGGACACGTTTTACTGCTAGGACTTTATTTTCAGTAGCAGAATCAATCTCACACAAAACTACATTCCTGATTGCTACATGACTTCTTCACTTCAGCAAATATATTTAGGAGAGCAAAGTGATTTAGTTGTGAAATAATTGGGAGTAGAAACCAATCCATAAGGAGACTCCGATCCATCTTCTACCTACCAATGCACAGCATGATTTATTCATTATTGTCCAAGACTGTGCAATTAACAAGAGTGTCCTAAATGTGTCTACAATTATTAGTTGCAAACACAGGTGGTAAAAACACAAGTCGTGTATATATTTCTAAATGCATTAAATTCATGTTGTTCCACCACATTATTTGGTGAATCTTATGTATGACTGAATCCGTTTTACTCCCTGTAACTCCAATAGGAAAACGACAGGTCTAAAATTATAATGTAGAGGATGTTAAAGATAAATTGTCCACTTTCCCTTAAAAGAAGGCATACCTTTTTCTTCAACCTAAAGTTTTCTTCAGTGCAATCTGCTAACTGTTGTAAATATTCGGTTTTTAACAGAGCCATTTCATTCTTAAGTTGTGACATTTCTTCATCGGCCTTTGCTAGCTGTAAGACAGCTGTTTTGTTGGCTTTGTGAAGGTGGTTGATTTGGCTTTTAAGGTTCACTATACATTAAGATACAAGCACACATGAAAGTGATCCAGCCAGATGTGAACATTTTTAAGACCGAGTATACTTAAAACTTCAATTCTATGTTTCATTCTCTTCTAAGAAAACATTGTATTGTGCAACAAATATAATAATTAAACAAATAATAAAATTGTGTTGCAGTTGTTTCCTGCAGTAATAAAAGGCAGTTCAGAATGGTCAGGTTGCGGCCAAATATTATGCTTTTCTATTTAAAACAAAGTCACTTAAATTGTGGAGCTTTATCTCCATTTAGTAGTATACCTAAGCTTGCAAAACTGAATTTATTTATTTACCACATTTATACCCCGCCCTTCTCACCACTTAGTAGACTCAGAGCGTCTTATATATATAGGCAACGATTTGATGCCCCATAAACATACATCAAGTGAAATAGAAACATATACATTAAAACAATCATTAAAACATATCAACCATTAAAACCACTTATTTAAAATCACACAATCCCACGTCACAGTCTGAGACCACTCCAATTGTCATTGCACCATTCTGTGTTCTCTTATTGCACTGTTACTACCTGAAAGCCTGGCCCCACATGTCTTTAGTTTTTTCCTGAAGGTCAGGTGAGAAGAGGCTGATCTGATTTCACTCAGGAGGGAGTTCTGTAACTGAGGGACCAGCACTGAGAAGGCTCTGTCTTTGGCCCCCCCAAACACACCTGCAAAGGAGGTGGAATCGGGAGGGGGCCTCCCCAGAAAATCTTAACCTAGCTGGCTCATAGAGGGAGATACATTTCAAATAGGTAAGTTGGAGCAGAACCGTTTAGGACTTTATAGGCTAAAGCAAGTATATTGAACGTAGAGTGTGTTGCAGTAATCTACGTTCAATGTAGATTACTGTTACATCTGTTTGGGATGTAACAAGAGTGGGGACTACCGTGGCCAAGTCTGACTTCCCAAAATACGGGCGCAACTGGTGCACAAGTTTTAATTGTGTGAAACCTCCCCTGACCACCACTGAAATCTGGGTTTCCAGGCTCAGCGATGAATCCAGGAGAACTCCCAAGCTGCAAACCTCTCTTCAGGGGGACTGTAACGCCATCCAGCACAGGATGTAACCCTATACCCTGTTCAACCTTACGATTGACCAGGAGTACCTCTATTTTGTCTGGATTCAGTTTCAATTTGTTCACCCTCATCCAGACTGTCACAGCTGGCAAGCACTGGTACAGGACCTGAACCGCCTCCTTAGCAGCAGGGCGAAAGGAGTAGTACAGTTGAACGTCATTTGCGTACAGATGACATCAAATTCCAAAACTCTAGATTATCTCTCCCAGTAGTTTTATGTAGATGTTAAACAACATGGGGGACAATACTGAACCCTGCGGGACCCCACAGGACAAAGGCTGTGGGGAAAGGAGGTGTCCTCCAGTAACATCACCTGAGAGTGGTCCTCTAGGAAGGATTAGAGCCACTGTAAAAGAGGTCCACCAAGACCCCATTTCTTCTAGGCCTCTCAGCAGTCTTTGATACTGTAGATCATGGTATGCTGAGAGAATCGAGAGGGATAAATTCCCCTGTCTAATTATCTGCATAGATCATCCGCTAAGGAGACCAAGGCAGTTTCAGTTCCATAACCTGGCCTAAACCCAGACTGCGCCAGATCCAGATAATCAGTTTCATTCAAGAACACCTTCCCTCCACACGTTCCAGGACTTTGCCCAAAAAGGGCAGATTGGAAACTGGCTGAAAGTTGTTGAAATTGAGTGAATGTCACTATTAGTATTTTTAGAATCAGGATAATATTAAGAACAACATTACAGAATGAAAAGGACACCTTGCATTAACTCTAGCACTAGTCAATACACGTTGGAGTGAAAATAAAAATTGATGAATGTTGAATAAAAAAAGTGGAGTGCCTTCATACCAATAAATTGCTGCAGGATTATAGGAGAATTGCATTCAGATTTCAGCAGACTGTTGGTGGACTCTTCTTTGTTAAGAACATTTTCTGCCTACAACATGAAATCATTGACAAAATTAATTTTGTTGAAAATAAAACGAATGTAAGCTTCTCTGAACATGTCATTATATAGTGTTTAATGGCCCAACTAAGTGCAACAGCTCACTCACTAGGCTATTTTTATCTTTAAAGCAAACTATTGCCATCTGCCATAATCTAATGTACAACCAGAAGGATTTCAGTTCACTTGATTTGCACTCCAGTTGAGTGATCATACAGATAACATTGGTTCAAATCAATTAAAAAGAAAAATGTCTTTGAAACATATGCACAATTGTCCTTAAAAGTATGTCAGAAGTACTGGGGACCTTGTGTATGTTGCAAAACACAAACACTACACCACTGGTATGTCAAAGATAGCCAACACTCCCAGCTCCTTCAGAGTCAAGCCAGTGACTTCAAGGATACCATCCATCCATCTTGCCCTTGGTTGGCCCCTCTTCCTTTTTCCCCAGCATCATTGTCTTCTCTGAGCTTTCCTGTCTTCTCATGATGTGGCCGGTCCAGTCCTACTACCAGAGATTGAAGCTCTACTCTTCTACATGTTCGCCTCCCTGTGCTATTATTCTATGAAGGTAGAGGAAATTGAAACATGTGTTCTGTTTTTCATATTGTGAAAGTAGTCCTCAGTCTTTTTCTTCCTTAATATAGAGCGGCCTATACTCTATACTGCCGTAATCATTTTTAGATATCCCAAAACAGAGATCTTTAAAGCACTGATCTTTTAAGCCTTTATGTGAACTACATCTCTCATAATCCATCAACATTGACAAAGCTGTCTAGACTCAATTGAAGTTACAAACCACAGCTCTTGTGAAACTACTGTAGGAAGATATTATGACTTCAGGCTCACTCTTGCCTTAAGTCATAATTTTCCCTCCTTCAGTGGTTACACAAAAGCTGTGTCTCAGTGGCAACATAAATGGAAAAAACTTTATTTCAATGAGCACCCCTAACAGTTCTTCAGCTCACTCTGGTACACAGAAACAGACTCAATTTCTTAGGTTTGTTATTAAAAGTGTATCATATCTATAATAAGAGGAAATTGTTATACTTTTAAAGCATTTTACCTTGCTATTCTGTTTGCCACTGTCAGTAAGATTCAGACTCTGTTCCTTGAAGAGAAGTTGACCTTTGCTTTGAACATTCTTCATATCTGTTCTTTCCCATTTGTTTTCAACTGGACATTTTTGCTGAAATTTAGACTGTACAAGCAAGTCTCCCATCTTTGTTGGTGAACAAACATAAAAACATAACCATGTCAATTTATATTAATTCAAGTATTTACTGTTCAATTTGACTATTAAATGAGGGCTATTGCATAGCATAGTATGGTGTGTGCTTTTTCTATTTGTAAGGCAGGCAGTGAACCTCTTTAAAACTGATATTAGACATTTGAACAATATAATGTATCATCTTTACACTACTACTATCTATAAGCTATTAATTAGTTATAGCTCTCAAAGCTGTCTAAAGGCCTAACTGTTGTAGCACTACTGTGCACAACAAGAACACTGGACTATGAACTATTGATAATCCAATGCTACCATAATTAAATTAGTATAGGAATGTTTCACAACATTGAGATATACAGGAATTGATATTTGTATATGTGTGTATGCTTATAAATGGGGAAGAGCAGGAAGCATAACAGAACAACCAAATAAGAAAAAAGAAAAATAATAGGTTCCCGTGTCTTGCTTACATGGGGCCAAGCAGAATATGCTAGTGAACTTTTTCCTTTTTGATTTGACATTTTATGGCAGTGGTTCCCAACCTTTTTTGACCAAGGACCACTTGACTAGGAACCACTTTGACCAGGGACCACTCTCCAACATTAGTACCAAAAGGGTTACGAATCAGTTTCTGTCAATTTTAGAGTTGGTTTGGTTATTTGGGGTGCTGATTCAGAAAACTACATTGGATAGACCGTATCAGCTCTAGTTTCTTATACAGAACATATGTCATCCAGTAATTGCCATCTGCTCATTCACAGAAAACCATATTTAATAAGCCTCAGCACTATAAGAGGGTTTTGTGAGACCAGCTGCTCTCATTGCATCGATGTAGTAATGGTGAGGCTGCAGACCATATTTTAATTCTTGAGGACCACAGGTTGGGAACCACTGTTTTGTAGCCAATAAAGAAATGTTTTCATTGGGAAAAATGAAATGGAAATAAAACAATAATAAATACTAGTACTACTACTATCACCACCACCACCACTACTATATGCAATTCCTTGAAAGTGTGATAGGATGGGCTCAAATATATTCTCACAAAGCAGTTGCGGGAGTGCTCTAGTTTTCTGAGAAATTCAACAACTGGAGAAACTGCAACATTAAGCCCACGTACAACATTACATAGAGGCCTAGTACTCACTGAAGCTACTGTGTAGGACCAGTGTTGTTGCATTTGTAGAATGATAGTGCACAATGGTAAAATAAATTTCTGTGCTTGCACAACTAATGTAGAACAGGTTCTAATTTAATCTATTATGGTTGGAACCAAAGTGGCTTTTCTAGCAAACAGTAATGCCTGTAGTGTGGATGGTAAGAATTTTTTCTGATATTAAAAAAGGAGAAATTTTGTCCTTAAAACCATAATATTACCTCAATAAACCATCCCTAGGGTTTGGGGTTTTTTTTAGAACGAAGAGCCCAAGTGCAGAACTAAAAAAATTCCTACCAAGAGTCCTTCACAAGGATGGAATGAGCGGATGTAGACGTGACAAAACCTGGCAGCCCAAGAACTCATGCAGCTTTAGAGTGATCTGAAAGTGTCACTTAGTGTGACTTCTTAGTATCACAGTATTAAGATGATAAATACATGATTGTAGTTAGATTGATTGTTTTAAATTAAGCACAGTAAATAAATCCTTAAAATTATATCAAACAATACACATCCAATATACTGATAAAGCTTGCATTCTTTCCCACCTCATTACAACTTCAAATTGCTGGAGTAGGGTGGTGATTGCATATGCTACCCCCTTTGAAGCTACAGACACTGCAATGGCCATAGGGACTCTTTAAAGTTCAATGAATATTACACACACAAAAATAAAATCAGAAACAATTAAGTGTGCTGGAGGATTACGTCTGACTTCAAACTGAGAAAACATTAGGTAAAAGCAAAATTCTTAAAATATTGAATGCCCATGTATATTGAGAATAAGAATGGAAAGCCTATAGTTTTGAAAAATCAAACTGTTCACCTTGTTAAAAATTCAAGAGACCATCAGGATTTGAAATCTGTTTCCTGTAATACTTTTTTTCAGCATAATCGTAAGTATTTCATATTAGTGCACGGAAAGTATTATTTTAAATCAGGGGCGGCTCAACCGATACGCAAAGTAAGCATTTGCAGTATAGTTGATTTTGCCCAGGGGCGCTCTTGAGGCGCTCTTGGGGGAAAATAGACCTTGACATATGCGAGTTGTAGTTACTGGGATGTATAGTTCACCTACAATCAAAGAGCATTCTGAACTGCACCAATGATGGAATTGAACCAAATATGGCACACAGAACTCCCACGACGAACAGAAAATATATATCAGTGATTGGGGGGGGGGTGCAAAATACTGTTTGCTTACTATTAAAAATTACCTAGGGCCGACTCATTTTTAAATCAGCTATTAGTATAAAGCTTTTGTTCCTGGTACACCCATAGTTCTGCCCAGAAGGTATAAAAAGAACATCCTTCCCTTAATAAATGCTTTCCATTTTACCTCCAAGGTTTTATTCAGTTGGTCGGTGTTCATATTTCTACCTTCAGCATCCCCAGCAGTTTTTCTATAATGGCACTGCCTTTCATTTACATCCAGAAAGAGCTTTTGTGTTGACAATTTAACCACCATTGAGCCAGGAGGCAGGGCTTTGTCAAAAACACAGCTTGAACAGCTGCTGCAGAAGTCTGGTTTAACACAACAAACACAAAGGAGACAAGAAAGTCTGTTTCCAGCAAAATACAGCCAGCTCCCCATGTTTCTTGTTTAGTGTATGAATCAGACTTGTTAAAAAGCATATTTCTGTAATAAAGATGATCTGTAAAAAATAATCAATTTGGATAACAACTTTATCATTTACTCTGCCATGTTTTGTATATTTCATGTAATTGACTTTTAATGACTTCTGCTGACATTTTGCAGATAATCAGAAAAGAGGTCATAAATACATTCATTAATATTTGGCCCTCTGCCATACATAGACATTAGATTCTCTTCCTTCATTGCATGATCAAACAGCAGTATATGTTGGAAAGCCATCAAGAAGCATGGCAACTATATAGTCAGCCTATTATTATTATTATTATTATTATTATTATTATTATTATTATTATTATTATTATTATTACCCTGTTTTATCTCCCCAGAAGGGGACTCAAAGCGGCTTAACATAAAAGCATCAGCATAACCATTTAAAATATACAAATATATGAATATTAAAACAAGATTAACTATAAACAGTATTTTTTTAAAATCCCAGTTAAAAACCATTAAAACAAATTCAAAGTTAAAAACCACAGCATCCCCTGAATTGATCTTTTAAAAAGCCTGCCTGAACAAAAAGATTTTAGCCTGCTTTCAGAAGGACATTGGGGAGAGAGCCATTCTGTCTTCCCTGGGCAGAGAGTTCCAGAGTCGAAGGAAGGCCCACTCTCACGTTCCCACCAACCAAGCTTGAGATGGAGGTGGGACTGAGAGAAGGGCTTCTCCTGAAGATCTCAGGGTCCAGGCAGGTTCGTACAAGGGGTTGTGGTCAGTAGCAGGTCAGAAGATAAATAAAAGTATTAGCTTTCTTACTCCCTCTATCCCTATTGCTTCTTACACAACAGATTTCATATTAAATGACCAAAACAAGAGTGAAATTACCTCCCTAGAAAGGCTTGCCTAGCTTGCACTATAGTTTATTTCCAGGTGGGTGTCATTGGTTGAAGACCCTTTTTATCTTCCAGGTATTTCAATAATTATTTGAGACTGCCTATTTTTTCCTGCTACTTAAGTTTGCTGCTGGATCTTTCAGGGAGGGGGTGATGATGTGTTGCACTGCTTTGTTATTGTGGTTGATTTATTTTTTGTCATTTTATTCACATTGTTTCATTATGATTTTATATCTTAGTCTTCTATTTACTTGTACACATTCCAGAGAACTGTAATAACCAAGGCAGAATAAAGAGAAACAATAAGCTTTTCCAAACAATTCCATTTCTTATGTTATCACCTTTCTTGGTCTTAACTTTCAGTTTCATATAACCTTTTCAGATTATAATAGTTCTGAAGAGGGCTGCAAAGCATATGGAGATAATCATAGCTGGGATTCTCTTCCTACCTACCCAACTTCTATGCAAGAAAGGTTTGATTTGTATCAGTTGTGAAACTTTCCCTTGGTTTCTTCCCTAGTTTTATGGTCATTCCTTTGTTTAGTATGAAAAGTCTTTCTATCAGTACCAGCTATTTGAAAGGATTTTTAACACAATGTTATTATTGTTGATGATGATTCTAAGATGCAGAATCATCATAACTGAACTTCAATATGTATTGTAAACAATCCAAAACACATAGTATCTCACTTCACACCACAACCAGGAAATGTTTTTTTTAACCTTATGATTATTAGCATGATGTTCTAAGTCAGCTAATGGTGAGGTATCATTATGTAAGTTCCTAGGTGACGCAGCTGATATCCAAACCTGATCAATAAAACTTGAATCTTGTTCAATAGCTGAAAAAAAAGATACAGAGAAGAAAATTACAGGGGTGAATCACTCAACAATTCCAACTAAGATTAAAAGTATCGTAGTTACCTGAACTCTGTGATTGATTAACTTGTGTTCCAACTTCCAGCAACTTTTCTGTTCTTGGGCATTGCAGTGCTATACACTCAGAAACATTCAAAGATTGCTTTGCATTTTGGGGTGTTGATGATGCAAAGCGTAGTATTGGGGAAGCTGTTCTGAAATCTGCAGTGTAAGTATTACCTTGATTATGCTTTAAAACTTGGGGAAATATACTGAAAACAACATCATCTCCAATTATATCATCTACAGTGTATTGGTTATTGTCCATTGATGGTTTATACCCTCCATCTGTACATTCTTGAGGGATATCTGAAAAATGTGCCAGTGTGTCCTGTGACCGGCTAGATCTCAAAACTTTCCACTCAAGAGGAAGAACTGATTGACCCGAAGTTAAAGATAATATATTGTCAGCAGAGCCTCCAAAACGGCATCTTGAATGCTTCAAAGAATCCTGATCTTGGCTTATTTGTGAATCCCAATCTATTAGCTGTACAAGTGAATGTCCCATTAATGGTTCTTCTCCAAAGCAAGAATATGCATTTTCCATTGTAGTAGTATCATCACGGACATTTTTTGTGAGTGCTGGAGAAGCAAACAAGTCATTACTTTCTAGATGAACATCCTTCAGTAGAAGATTAGAATTTTCTCTGCATGCATTTAATGATGAATCCATGATAATTGTCAAATTTCCTCAATTTGTTAATCCTAACAACAGTAAAAAAATGCATGTTAGAAGACAGGATCATCAGTAAATCCAACAAAACAAAAGAATGAAGATGTCATATTGATGTCAGATAGATGCAACAGTCAGGAGTGCTTACCACCAGCTTCAACTTATACACCAGCTGTGCCCATTCCTAAATGTGGAGGACCTAAAGATGGTAGGGCATGCTCTGGTAACCTCAAGGTTGAACTTCTGCAATGTGCTTTACATTGGGCTACCTTTGTACCAAGTTTGATAACTCCAGTTGGTTCAAACTATGGCAGCCAGATTTTTTTAAAAATGTCAAGAGCAACTTGAGAAACAGCAAGTCACTTCTGGTGTGAGAGAAATGGCCGTATGCAAGGATATTGCCCAGGGGATGGCCAGATGTTTTGATGCTTTACCATCCTTGTGGGAGGCTTCTCTCATGTCCCCACATGGGGAGCTGGAGATGACAGAGGGAGCTCATCTGCGCTCTTCCCTGATTCAAACCTCTGACCTGCTGATCTTTAGTCCTGTCGGCACTAAGGTTTAACCCACTGCACCACCGGGGCTATTGGTTACAGGAACATCCAGGAGTGAACATATTACACCTATCCTAAAGTCACTCTACTGGCTGCCAAATTAGTTTCTGAGGAAAGTACAAAGTGTTGGTTTTGACCAAACCCTACAAGGTTTGGATCCAAATGGATCACCTTCTCCCATATTAGGTCCTCTGCAGAGTAGCTACTTCAGCCTGCCAGAACCCAACTGACCACTGTCAACCAGAGGATCTTTGATCGGCTGCCCCAAGACTGTTTAACAACCTGCTGGAAGGGATCCAACTGTTCAATGAGCTGTCAGAATTTAAAACACATTTGAAGACAAAGCCTACTTAGTTTTAATCATGACTTTTCAACTCATGACCTGTGTTGTAATCTTTGTTCTGTGCATTTTAATACGTTTTTTAAAATAAAAAATATGTTTTAATATGTGTATTTTATATAATGTTTATAATAATTATTATTATTATTTTAGTCCTTGCCTGCCTCTCCTTGTGGCTCGAGGCAGGTTACAATATAGTTAAAAACATATAATGATTGTACACTTTCTATAAAATATACATATTAAAATAAAGCCAACATAGATCCATTATTATTATTATTATTATTATTATTATTATTATTATTATTATTTTGGATCTATGTTGGCTTTATTTTGATTTTAATATCTGCCTTTCAGTCTCCCAAAAATAGCTGTAAAATAAGTAGTGTCTCCATTTATCTACTGCAGGTTAAGAGCAGTCAGCTAGTTTCTCTTGCAAGGTTCTTGATTAGCCAGTTATATATGCTTGGTGCTGCTTCACTTAGAATAGTTTTCTCACTGCCAGCATTTTGACCATGGAACAGCATGTAGCCTAGTAAAGTAAGACTAGAGATAGATTAGAAGGTGTCCTGACATGGGATATGACATGATGCTTCAAGGAATGTATGCACACATGAACAGGCTTCTCATTAAAGATACTGTTGCTGTTAAGGTCATCCCTTCCTTCTAAAAATGAATGTTATGTCAGAACTGGAATGCTCCTTGAGCAAATTTACTCAATAGATCATAATTAAGTATATCTGAAAACACATTCGCTACTATTAAAGGTAACTATTTCAACTTAATACAGCAATGAATTTTAAAAAAAAGAATAGAAGAATTAAAACATATAAAGAAAGATAATTAACTGTTAATGGACTGTGTCTATGGCAATTATTTCTAATATACTTTAACAGCAATTTTTATGAGTGTGTTGTAATAATGTCTTGTTCAATCTAGTCCAAATGTATATTTGAGAATTTTATTGTAAATTAAAGTGGTTAATGAGATTTATTTTATAGAAAGATGGGTATACCAATTTAGAATACATACTTTGCTGTAGTAAAATTAAGGTATGATATAACATGCCATTGAACTAATAATTTAATTAACACAATATTTTCTTTATAATTTTTCGTTCACTACGAAATTTACTGTGCTGAAGCAAAACATTTCAGTACTAATTTTTCATGGGAAGTTATAGTTAAAGGAGGGACCAAAAGTTTGATTATTTGATAATTTTTTGTTAAGGGGAGTTACACGTTCAAATAAGCATTGACTCCATATTGGGATTTGAAGTGTAAGCGTTCATAAGAAGTAAGACTGAATAGTTAAAACAGTTTGCTAAGGATTGTTATTCCCTAGAAAACACTTAAGAAGCAGCCCATTGATATTTCCCTTATCATTACCACATCTCTATTTATATATACCATATATTTTCATGTATAAGTCAAAAAACGTTTGACAAAAAACAAACCAAAAAATTTTGAATCGACACAAGTCAGTGTTGTAACAGGGACCTGACAAGAGGCTGAGGCAAGGAGCTCCCACCCCATTACCACTCCTTTGCCTAAAATGGAAAAAAGCATCCCTTCCTCCTTCCTAATCATTTTTTTCTTCTTGCATAAGCAATATCCAGCAGCAATGTGGGGAGCCTGAAGAATGCAATGCACCTGACATTTGGGGCACTTTATGTGGAGTGCAATGGTCATTTTTATTCAAGGCTTACCACACAAGCCTCTCTGCAGAGTCTGCGGTATACATTTTAAATCAAGGCTTACTATAAAAGCTTGTCTGCCCTTTTGCACTGGATCCTCCATAGAGGCAAGTTGTTCTGCTTCTCTCCTTTCAGGTCACTTCCTCATTCTTTTCCCCAATTTATAATTCCTTCCCTGCCTTTATTTGTATGGATGTAGACATATTGCGGATAACAATACAATTTACACCACTACACTGCCCACCCCGAACCCCTCAAATAATCATATCCTATTTTTTGAATTACCTCTTCCTAAGTATATTCCCTCTTCAACCTTTTCTTTCATCTAGCATGGCTTGGCGAGTACTTGCTCCCCTTCCCAGAGGGATTCTTTCTTTTTGGGTGTGGGGAGGGTAAAAAGAGGGGGTGTTAAAATCTAGTTTGTCTTCCAGGAGCGTGCCAGCTGTCTACTCTGGCACTGCTAAGGAACAAACAGAAGTGCCACATCAAAGCACTTGGCATGTGCCATGGCAGGAGTATGAAAAACGGATGGCTGGAGGTATGGGTCACATCCCAACCATATTCCACTTATATCCCATGTGCTCTTTTCTCCAGTCACCTCAGTTCAGTTCTGCATTGCCCATGACAGAGACAGGCAAAGTTCTGTCTTAGGGGTGGGGGGGGGGGGKGGGGAATGTGGCATTAGTGGCAATGGGAGGATATATTTCCTCTGACCCCCTCCCCGAAGCTTTGARATTTTGTTGTTATTGCTGTTGAGCAAACTGGATTGCAATCCCCTCTCTTGTGCACTTTGTAGCAAGGAATTGAGTATTTGTGTTTTTTGCTCCCTGCATGAAGTCCTGGAACTGAAATCCCTACTCTCTATTGACTAGAGAAGAAGCAATTCAGAGATGGAGATGGTCACTGGGATACTAATCTGCATTGTCCTAATTATTTAATTACAGGTAGTTCCCAACTTATGAACAACATATATTCTGTAGGTTTGTTCTTAAGTTGAATTTGTTTGTAACTCGGAATGGGTACATTTTAAAAATGAAACTTGAGCTAGTTGGCTGGAGAAAAAAAGGGGGGGAGGCTTGCTGAAAATCTCCTTCATATTCCTTCTCAGCTAAGGTTCTGGCAAGATGCAAGGGAGGCTGATGGAAGCCTTCCTTTGCCTCTTTGCCCTAGCCTTGGCTGGAGAGGGAGGGAGGGAGCTTGCTCCACCACTCCCCAGGTGGCCGACTCTGCCCTGTTCGTATCTACAAGTTGTTCATATGTCGGATGTTCATAACGCAGGGACTGCCTGTATTCAGTCATCTGGGATGAATAATTGTGGAAAATTACACCACCAAATTTGCAATTATAGATAAATGCACACAGACTGAAACTCTGGAATGTGCTAGCTCTCAACTCTAATAATGAGTCCTCAAGTCTAACCATGTGGCTAGGCAGATATTAAAATCAGAAAATACTTGTAAGATAACAGATCCACTAGTTGGACTAAGGGAAACAAATAACTATTTCCTAGGAAAGGGTGAACATTTTTATAATCCAGGTAACAGAAACATTTTTATGTAAAAATGAAACTTCCTGAGATTTCATAGAAAATAGGAAGCGATCTACAAATGAATGTGTAAGTTGCTGAATGCACATATTCGTATGTAGACAATTTCATATATAGATAGATGAATAGATAGATAGATATAGTTCTAGAAGAGTGATACAGAAGAGCAAACCTGGATTCTGAACACTGCCATGCTGCATTTGAATTTACTAAATTTAGTCAGGAACAACTGAGATCAGGTTGTAACTGGTCCTACTGATTCAGCAGTGATTGGATGTCCATGCAAAGAGATTAGCTTTTTTCTCAGGCATAAATTCTATGGGATAGAATGAAGCTCTATTTCTTTTCCTGAGAATAAATGTCTAATACATAATAATACAACATAAATTCGTCAATGGATTTAATGGGAGCTCTGCTGGCAGAATCATATTTCCACCAATGGACTTATTTTACTGAATATAAACACAAGTAGATAAAGTCCCATGAAAAGCAAAAGAAGCTTAAGTTTTTTTACTCTAAAATAAAAAGGAACAAACAATTCAAGAGATGAACCCATAAAAGAGAGAAACAAAGACTTGCACAACTAATTGCACAAAATGTGGCTGATTCTGAAGTTTATTTCAAAACCTTTTATTCCCTTTAGCATAGTTCAAGAGAAATATTGTATATGTCAAAGGAAGTGTGGGCATTTCTCTTGGAAACAGAGCCAATTAGATAATCCAGAATCTATAGGGGGAAATACTGTACACTGTTTATGAACTTTCTTCAATTTAATTTCACAGCTTCAGATGGGTTTTATATTGATTTCAGCAGAAAGAATTATTAAATTGTTGGTACATATTTTCATCTCAACTTTTTAATGACTGCTTACATTGGTTTATTCTCACCATCACCTTCTGCAGTGTATGGGATTCTCTTACAAATAAAGAAAAAAGGGTGGATGACAAAATATTGTTCATCTCCCTTTCCACAAGAGAATATGCTTTCTATGGGCATAATTACTAGAACAGAATGAAGGTCCCATTTAAAAACCAGTTTTCTTTTGTGCAGAAATATACTCCAATGCAGCAAATTAGTGAAGAATGTGATTGTTTGAAAACCATTGGCAGTACTTTAGAAATCAATAATGCAAGTTATCTTTAGAATTACCTACCTTGAAAGCTATTTTCCAACTTTACAATGTACCTAATGAACAAATTACAAAAGTTGTATAAGTTTTGACTCATTTTAAAAAGTGAAATAAATACTAGAAGAAAGTCTTATTCCAAAGCATTTGTACTTTTAACGTATGTCTTTCTCTGTTTTTCTAGCAGCAAAAGACCAAATGAAAGAGACCTCTAAGAGCATATAGAAGCATAATTCCCCTATTACAGTATATATGAAAGCTTTCATTAAACATCACTAATTCTTATATATTTGCAATTTTGTTAAATGCAAGGCAACAAAGACAAGAATAAGTTGTTAATAGCCAATTTTTAGAAAAATCAATCCTTATTCCACAAGGATTTTGAAGGGTTATCTATAGCTGGTGTGCCTACCATGCAGCCCCAGAGTCACATGCAGCCCAGTATAGCTATAAATGTGACCCAGCACAAAATTGTAAAATTATTTCAAAATTATGAGGTTTTTAGGGGATTTTTTTTGGAACCCAATTGTGCAGTTCTCAAGTGCAAACTTTATAGATGACAATGGAATGAAATGGAATACATAGAATATGTTACTTCATCATATATCGGAGTATTATCTGTAATTCACATTATAATTACAAACAGTTCAGCTGGAAGATCCATCTCTACAATGAAACCAGGCAATCTCCCCTCCTCCTTCCTGGTCACATAGGCACCTCTGCCAATATCAGAGCATGGAACCCACATGACTAGGAAGAATGAGGGGAAATCTATTCTGTTACCAGCAGTGACAAATGCAATGGTTGAATGGTGAATCAACAAATAAGTTAATTCAACTGATCCCGTAATTCTATTCCTGCCAACATTAATGGGTTTGGGGCCAATATAGTTAATTAATAACAGAAACACCACAAATTCTGCTAAGTTTGTTATATCCTCAGAAATGAAATGGAACATGGCTTTTTGTGAGAGAGCATCTTTACCAGAGATGGTTTCCTGAGCTAAGAGTGTAAACCTGGATGTAAGTTTTTACATCCAGGTTTACACTCTTACACTCTTTGGAGCCATGGAGAAGAAGAACTCAACAGGTTCCTGGATCATCTTAACAGCATCCACCCAAAAATCCAATTCACAATGGAAAAAGAAAATGAAGGAAGACTGCCTTTTCTAGATGTCCTAGTTATCCGCAAACCAGATCAACAATTGGGTCACACCGTTTACAGAAAACCCACACACACAGATAGATATCTACATAAAAACTCCAACCATCACCCAAGTCAAAAAAGAAGCACCATTAAAGCCTTGGCAGACCGTGCAAAAAGAATCTGCGAACCCCACCTCCTCCAAGATGAACTGAACCACCTCAACTGGGCTCTCCAGGCCAATGGATACTCCACCTCAGACATCAGAAGAGCTGCAAGACCAAGAACAAGCCACGAGAGTAAAGATGAAGATCCACCCAGAGGAAAAGTGTTCCTGCCATACATCAAGGGAACCACTGACCGCATAGGGAAGCTGATGAGGAAACACAACATACAAACAATCTACAAACCCACCAAGAAAATCCAACAAATGCTACGTTCAGCAAAGGACAAGAGGGATCCTCTCACCTCTGCAGGAGTCTACCGTATACCATGCAGCTGTGGACAAGTCTACATAGGGACCACCAAACGCAGCGCCCAAACACGCATCAAGGAACATGAAAGGCACTGCAGACTACTTCAACCAGAGAAGTCAGCCATAGCAGAGCACCTGATGAACCAGCCTGGACACAGCATATTATTTGAGAACACAGAAATGCTGGACCACACTAACAACCACCATGTCAGACTACACAGAGAAGCCATTGAAATCCACAAGCATGTGGACAATTTCAACAGAAAGGAAGAGACCATGAAAATGAACAAAATCTGGCTACCAGTATTAAAAAACTCTAAAATTACAACAGCAAAACAGCAGAGAGGAATCAACCAGGCACATCTTAACACCTCTCAACAAAGATTTTCCCAGGCTCAGCCAGGCCTTCAAATGCTAATGAAGGTGGTCAGTTGAAACATTCACACCTAGCTCCAGCAGAGAAGAGCTCTTTGCCCCACCCCAGCCATTCCACAGATATATAAACCCATTGTCCTAATTCCAACAGACCTCACTACCTCTGAGGATGCTTGCCATAGATGCAGGCGAAACATCAGGAGAAATGCCTCTAGAACATGGCCCTATAGACCAAAAAACCCCACAACAGACAAAACGTCAGGAGAAATGCCTCTAGAACATGGCCCTATAGCCCAAAAAACCCCACAAGAATCTAAGTTTTTATTCCTCTCATTTCTCAAGACCAATATTGATAGTTTCTGAGCATTTGTACAGAAGGGAAAGAATTAGAGCTGGATAAAGGCAAAACAAAGAACAGTACACCCTCCCCCCAAATTTTGTACTGGATGTGGTGAGAAACTGTCAAATGAGAGAAGAGTACGAGAGAGATATTCCTTCTAGATCTTTGTCAATCCTTTTCATTGAAAAGGATTGCAATGTTTTCAGTAGTTCTGCCAAGGGAGAAAGTAGAAGTGATGACATAAGAACAAAGTTGGAGCAAACAGTTATTAGAAGGAACATGACTTGAATGGTGAGTAGCAGACATGAAGTGAAAAATTGAGATCAAAGAGGGTAACAGAGGAGAAAGTGAGAGGTTGAGGAACTAGAAGGATTATCAGTGTGAATGTTGGTCCTCAAGGACAACAGTGACTGACAGTACAAGAAGGAGAGAAGTCAAGCTTCAAAGTTAGAAAGTGTAGGTGCCAGTGTAGTAGAAGAGTAAAGTTACCCATTATATATTTGTTTGATGTATTACACTTCAAAGTTAAAGAGTGTACAGATTAGTGACTCATATGGCAAATATCACCTCCACTATAAATTTAGAAAGCTAGATTTCAAAGTCCACAGTTTGAATATTTATTACCATATCCTAATATGAGCAATTTTTGTTTTTAATAAAGCTCTTTGGCTGTGTGATAAGGCTGGATGATAAGACTTAACCCTTACCTACTTCAGTGTGCTGTAGTGGTTTGAGAGTAAAAAAACAACTCTGGAGGTCAGGGTTCAAATCCCTGGTTAACCCCAGAATGGTCTTGCTTTAGAGGAAGAGAAAAGCAAGCCCAGTCTGAACAAATCTTGCCAAGGAAACCCCATAATAGGTTCTTCTTAGGATCATCATATATTGGAAATGGTGTGAAGAGACAGTAAATCTCAGAAAGAAGGAGAGGCCCTGTGCAAATAAAAATCATACATCCTCACTCAATTGGAAAATAATTGCTCCAACATTTAAACATATAATCGCACACTAAGAAATTGACTCCAATGGGACTTATCACAAGTAAGCATATGAATAGATTGAATGAAATTGTATGATTGGGGCCTGGCCAGGACCGATTAAGGTCTGGCAAGGCTAAAGACACCATCCTAAAATTGGAACCTGAAAAATGGCACTATGGAGGAGGTGAAGAATTCATTAACTGAGGCATGAAGAGTGCTAATGAGAAATCCAGATAACTGACCTGAGAACTTTTGGTGTAAACAATACCTGTTTATATAGGCAAAGACAATGTTACCTTAAGACATTATGAAAGAAGTTAAACAACATATTTTCCAAGATTGATGAGGCTCCAGCAAGTCTGAGCTGAATGCAGGTTATCTAAACAACCAAGTACAACAACAACAACAAAAAATTGCTACATAAGGAGACCTTTATTTCTTTTCGATTGTGTGCCAGATCTGTGAGGAATGCAGCATTGAATACCTGCCTCCTTCCAAGAAGCCTGATTAACTGAATGATAAAGGATGGTGAATATGAATGCGTGAATGTATTGATTATGAGTGAATTTGAGAGTATATGAGATGTTTCCTTTTTGTCTGTGCAACCTATATAGGTATTGTAAAACATTATAATGCCGCATTATCACAGGATGTCTATGTCCGAGAGAAGTTATACTGTTTAGCCAGTACTGCACCACCTGATATCCATCAGGAAGTAGCAGCCAGTAATGTAGGTACCAGGCATTGACATCTCTGGCCCATCCTCTGTTCAGATATCAGCCAGCATGCCAATGACTTAAATCAAGAAACAGTTTCCTAAGATCTATAGAGATATTCGCAGGAACACCTCAGCAAATGAGAGTCCAAAAGTGGCAGGCTAAAACCTGGAACCTCAATCAGTTGCTGATACCGGATAAGAAACTCCCCCCGGGCATACAGAAGGCTGGGCAACTTGGAAGGCACTGAACATACTGCGTTCTGGTACCATGAGATGCAGAACCAATCTTAAGGAATGGGGCTATAAAGTGGAGTACACAACATGTGAGTGTGGAGAAGAGCAAACCACAGACCACTTGCTACAATGCAATTTGAGCCCTGCCACATGCACAATGGAGGACCTTCTTACAGTGACATCAGAGACACTCCAAGTGGACAGCTTCTGGTCAAAGGAAACCTAGCATAATACCAAGTTTTGTTTGGTTTTTTTTTTTGGGGGGGGGGGAGGAGGTTACACATTATAACTGTATTCTCAATTTGCTTGTGATACAATAAATATAAATAAATAAAACTCAGTACTGGAATCTGTGTGTCTACTTCTTTCTTTGAAAGTGCCTGATACTCTGTCTCACTGTAAATGGGTTAAAAACATTTTAAGGTTCAAAAAGTATTCATGGCATATGCATAAAATTATAGTATAAGATCTTGGAGTTGGTCCCATTTGATATCTTTGAACACAATAAACAATGGTATGAGATGATAAATGATTTCATATTTTTCCTCCTCTAATTTTCAAAAATTCTGCAGCACATGATTACTGCAACTGTTCTATAGAACAGCAATCTCCCACCCAGCAAATTAATTATATGAAGAAAAATCCAATGAGTCAATTGCAGCACACCAATCTCTTTAAGGATAATTTGAAAATAACATTTTACAGATTTCACATTGTACTTAGCACAAATGCAAAAGTCTTGAACCTACAGAGATTGGCTATTCAGTGCAGCCATTTAATCTTTATTGCAATGAAAT